TCTCTCTCTGTCGTAGTCTGAGAAGTCAGGTGGTGAGAGGATGAGAAGAGATGGTGGACTTAGAAGAGGAAGAAGAAGAACTCTCTCTCTCTCTGTGTCCAGTACTAACCTGTGAAGTTGGCGCCTTGATGCAGGTACCTCAAAGATGGAGCTGGAGCTATGGTGCCACAGGTAAGTATCGCTGGCCTCCGCCAGCCATCTCTCCCAACTCTACGATCTACCACCTAATAGCGCCCAGCGCTGAAGACTACCCTACAGCTATGGGCGCCCAGAGCCGAAGACTACAGCTAACGCTGAAGACTACAGCTAACGCTGAAGACTACTGCCTAGCGCTGAAGACTACTGCAGCGCTGCTCCTGAGTGCTGCGGCCGAATCCTGAAGACTACTCGTGCCTACTGACAACTACCTGCCCGTGAAGTGCATGGGAACCTCCTATGTACTACCGGGTGTGCCTCCTGACTCGTGCGAGCAGTCCAGGAGGCTGCTCTTGCCAATGCCGAAGGAAGGCAGGGGCTGCAGCTGCAGCTCCTGCTCAAGCTCGTGAGGAACAGGCTATTTCTGGCCTGTTCCRAAACCCTGTATTCGTGCCTGAGTCTTGAAAGRCCSAGAAATAGGCTGAAACGGAATAGGGCCTGCAGGCCCTCGTATTTCAGCTTCCAGGCTGAAACGACCGGGGCCTGCAAGCCCTAACTTTTAGGCTTTTAGGCTGAAAGTCCGGGACGGGCCCTGCAGGGCCCGTGCGGCTACGCAGTATGCCACACCCCCCCCTCCTTAAGAGACCGAGCTTACCTGCGAGGGCGAAGCTGTCTGTCTGAGGGAGGGACCACAGTCCGGGTGGGAGGGGCAGGTCGTGGAGGTCCCTTAGCTAACCTTTGTCGCTCGTAGTGAGCGTAGATCAGCGGTGCGGATGCTTTCATATCTGCTCCTGAAATCCACCGAGTGTCGTTGGGATCGCATGCTTTGAATGTAACTTTGTACTGGCGCGGCTTGCTGCCGTACTTGCGATCCGTGATGACGCGGTCAACTTCCTGATGRCCATTCATAGAAGGAGGGTCCTGCGATCGTCGGCTCGGGAAGTCGTCGCTCTTAGCTGGTGTAAATGTTGCCATCTTCGAGGCGTGAAAGACTGGATGGACCGTCAGATGCTCGGGAATGTTGATCACAAATGAAGGGCCATCGGGCTCATTGCCCGCGGCTGCTGTCACAGACCAAGGTCCAAACCACTTGGGACGCAGTTTGCATGAAACATCCTGTTCCAGTGCAAACTCTTCCGCGGAGACCCAAACCAGATCACCGGCGCGGATGGGACATGGTATGCGACGCCTGTTGGCTTGCTGCTGCATGCAGACTTGAGCCTTTTGCATGTTCGCGCGGGCTTGAGTCAGCAATTCCTTGTACTTCCGGACGGAAGCGGGAGAGCAGGCAGCGTCAATGTCGGCTGGTCGAGGGAGGAGAAGGTCAACGAAGATCCGGCCTTTCCGTCCACCGTGGTGCAACTCGAATGGAGTCACGCCGATCGCCGGATGCACCGAAGTGTTGTAGGCGAACTCGATGTCGGGGAGGCGGTCAACCCAATCTTTCTGGTCCGGACGGATGAGCGTACGAAGCATCATTTGAGCGGTTTGATGTGCCCGCTCCGTCTGCCCGTGCCGAGCCGAACTTGGCTTCATCTTCGTGCCGGACTCCTACATGAGTGCAGTCCAAAATGCCGACATGAAGCGGGTGTCGCGGTCGCTGACTATGTCTTCGGGTACACCATGGCCACAAATCCAACCGGTGTGCAGGAGGCGTGCCAGCTCGGGAGTCGTGGAGTAGTACTTGCAAGGAAGAAAACGCGCGTACTTACTCAATCGATCCACAACCGTGAGGATGTCGTCGTGCCCGAGCCGATCGCGTGGGAATGGACCGGTGACGTCCATGGCAATGGAGAGACCGGGTTCCCGTGGGATAGGCATCGGGCGTAGCTCGCCATAGGGATTGCGGTTGCGGGGTTTGCTGCGTCGGCAAACTTTGCAAGAGTCGCAATACCGAGTGACATCGGTAATGAGGTCGGACCATCGGAATTGTTGTCGAAGCCGTGCAATGGTGCGGTTGACTCCGAAATGGCCGGCGAGTCGCGAGTCATGGTACTCCCCGAGAAGGCGAGTCCGAAGACGACGGTCTCATGGGACACAAAATAAGTCCTTGCCTCTCGAGTGGAGGAGCAAGTACCCATCGGTAATGCGATAGTGGCTGGCCGGTGGGTGATCCAAAGATAGCTGTGCATATAGCGTGGCAAAGTCCGAATCAGACTCGTATGCCCGGATGAAGTGTCCCTGAAGCTCCTCGTCGAATGCGAAGGCATGATGTGTCATAGCGCAAAGATCAGGTCTTTGCGAGAGTGCATCTGCTGCGCGATTTGAGAGGCCGCGAAGATGTTTCGGTGTGAAGTCAAA